TTATCAAACATGTAACACGCTGCGCCCCGCGCATTCTTGTACGGCCGGCATAACACTTCCAGTATGCCTAGTTAAAATCATATTTTATTTCTTCAAAACTAGAAAGAATATTAAAAACCACGAAATTARTGAAAATTAAATTTTGAAACGTCAACATTTTCAGAAAAATAAACTCTACAAAATGGCTAGTCAAGTTTTTTTGGAAATAATTAAATAAAAAAATAAATTTTTTTATTTTTTATCAAAACTTTTAGATTTGATTTAAAAATGAAATAATTGTAGTTCTTATCCCTACGCGTCTTATAACAAAACCAGAATTTTGATATCTCCATTATTTCGTGAGGTATCACTATTGATAAATCCTCGCGGGACACCCTGTATAGATCAAATCGCACAAATTAAAAATACGATTACTACCTATGATAGTATATATAATTAATATTATCTAAATTCTAAACCTTTATAGGTTTAGGGCGTTTAGGCTATAGGTCGCATACCTGTTATTACTTATTGAACTTACAATTCCCTCATTTCATAGACCAGCGACAAGCCGACAACTTTTCTTTTAATCGCATATAATGTCTTGTAAGTAGTAATATACTAATATATATATATATATATACATATATATGCATATTAAAGCAGTTATTTGCTTAATTTTATCCGATACCTACGAAAAATCAATACCTACCTACATACCAATCCAATGCAGTTATCGTGAATATTAGTATATTATATATTTATATATATATGTATATTGTATACCTATTATACCTACCATAGTATTGTGGTGGCACCGTGTGTCGGCCCAAACGAATGTCGAGTAATTTTGTTGGTAAAATGATCGAGAATATCCCAAGGGCACCATTATCAAAATTAAGAAGAGATGTTCGGTTGAAAACCTATAGCCAACCGTACTATACTTATAAGTTCATCGATCATTATTATTATTCTTTAACATTATTATATTATACACAGACGCACGCTATAYATCGTATAGACTATACATATCTAATAGCTAACATAGGTATATTGGTATATACATATAGGTCTACGCTTATACGTCAATATAAAAGTTTGTTGGATAAAATACCTTAGTAAAGTATAGAGATGATATTATTATGAGTATGTTATTAAAACTTTTTACAACTGTCCATTATAGAAAAGATTGCAAGAGTGTGTGGATTTCGAATGTATTTTTATATGCGTATCTTGATCGATATTACTTTTTCGTAAAAATATTTTATTATAAAATTTTGTCCGTAACGATCAAACGATACATTTTAAAAGTTATTTGCAACATTTTCACGTAGCGATTTTATATAGTTAATTGTGTTTCCATATATATATATAGATATATAATATATATTACCTGAATATTATACAGTAGCAATGCAGATACCTATAGGGCATAGGCTATAATAACTATTAACTATACCAGTGTTTTAATTTATAACATACCTACATTATTATAGCATTTAGCATTTTAATTTCGATTTTAATATTGTTATAATAATGTATTTAAATTKTTTGAAATAATTTATAATTGTATACCATACTATTATATTCAGTCAGTCATTTAGTGATTTCAATGTTGTTTGCCAACAACTGAAAGACATTATTATTATATTTCTCACCTCCTGCGTGCATGGTACAATAAGACATGTACCTTTACTCTAAACTTTAGAGTCTAAAGTATTTGATTTCCAATATTAAATGACAAACCAAAATACCAGATGAATTAGTTGGTTCTGACTTTTTATCTGTAAAAACATAAATTAATTGTGTATCACAAATACCGGAACACGTATAGAAACAAGAACATTCCAAAGTTAAGTTCCTGTACGAATATCTATAAAAGAACATCAGCCTCACTTTTTAAGGATATGGAAGCCTTCAAATTTTTAGCGCATACATTTATCTCCCACAAAAAACTTTCACGGTCTCGTGACATACCTACTCAGATTTTATAATTTTTWATTTTTATATTTTGAAAAATGAAGATATTTACTTGCGATCTACCAACATTTACATTTTTAGTAAAAATTGTTTAAAATGATATTCAATTTTACTAGAACAATCCATTTTATATTATTGAGCTAAACATAGCTACAATAATAATTAAAAAAATTGCATTTTATTTTATACATAAAAAAAATGTAGTATTATATTGTTTAAAGACTATTTATAGCATGTACCTACTCAAATCAGTATAATATATTAATACTTAAAAATTAATCAACGTAGAAGTAATTAATAGTTATGGATTTTACGGATAAAGTACCATGAATTGTTAGGTTTTATTTTTTTTTCAGTTGAATTAGAAGAATTTTTATTTAAAAATGTTTTTTTTTTTAATTATTTTTCTCATGATTACAAGTAAAATCTCTTTTGAAACTTAAAATGCATTCATCATAAAATAAAATAGGAACTTATTTATAAATTATTTATAAATATATGCAATATATTAATTTCTTGAATATTATAGTATAGCAGCAAAACTCATAAAAAGGAAAATTAAAATGTTTTTAATTCTATACTGATATTATGCTTTTTTAAATTACATACGAAAGAATTTATTCAATCAATAAGTACAATTTTAAACAAAGATAGGTACCACATATAGGTAGTTAAATTATATGATTTTTGTTTTTGCATAATTTTATTTTTATTCAACATTCACTTGCATCGGATAAACCTTCGAGAAAATTTAATTTTAACATTACTTATTTATTGAGCATTAACCCAACCACGAACAGTCTAAAACATGATTTTAGATATGCTCAAAAAATTGTATAATTTATAATAACAACTGTGGTTATTTAATATTCCTTTAACTCAGTTTTAATTTTTGTAGGTAAGTAATAMTTTTTGGTAATCGAACATTAATTATTTTTCAACATAAATGGTTAAAAAAAAATGTGGAACACACAACTTGTTGAAATATATATAAGTACTAATTAACAATATAACATATTATATTATGATTATACCATACTGAATATTCATYAAATTATATTATTGTTGTTGTACATAAATATAAGTCATGCGGAGTTATGTTTCAATAACAGGGTTGAAATATCACTCGTATGTTGTTGACTTATTGTTATTGCAATATTATAGCTGTATGTACCTTATTACCTATCTGTTGTTCGTATTTTTAATATTTTTGTTTAAATATTATTTTAACAGTTAAACATTATATCTGCAGCGTGTTATTTTATCTGGATAGGTATACTTGGCGTAGATTCACATTTCATTTCCATCACACGTAACCACCCGAGATTGTGAATTGTGAAAGCTATACGTTTTAGAGATGAATGCACGTCGTAAAATATATACATTACGCGCTTAATACAAATCATGTAAAATATATTACAATAAACTATTATGCACTTGCATTATTGTTCATATTGGTATAAGAGATTAACTAATCGGAAAATCGATCGCATTAAAAATTGTGTGGATATTTAAATTCAATATAAATATTATGATTTATGATGGAAAAAAAATAATAATTTTGCATGTGATGATTATACTATATAGATAGGAAATTTGAAAAACAGAATCAAGGAAGTTGCAGCAATCGAATATGGGTATTTTTCCCTTAACGGTTAAAAWAATTATACAACATCTGTGTTATTTTACCTGGATAATAATTGATTTCTATATAGTGACGACAATTTTATGAAAAATAAATGTGGATTCATATTTTTTCATTTAAAACAACTGTCTATAATTCACATTTACAAACAATTGGATTAAGAAAATCCTATTAYCCAACGGAGTAAACCTATGACTGTGGTTTAAGTATGGTGTTGCTAATTTAAAAATGAGTGTTCAAAATAGTTGGAAGTAAGGGGGACAATACTACAATGGGTTGTTTAGAGTCAATCTGTTTAAATAAATTAAACCGGAGTACCCTAATTTACAGTCATAGACTACAATTTTTTTATTGGTTATTATTTAAACTGATACCTATATACTGTATTAGTTATATTAACATGACAGAAAAGGCTTACCATTCCGTGTTCCCTTAATCTAATATAATTTAGTATCGAAATAAAATAAAAATAAAAATAATATTTTATAATAAATTGATAGTATATTGGCTCCTATAAAATTCTATAAATATTTCATAGAGTGTTTATTAATTCAATAGTATAGTGTTAAAGGAGAAAAAATTTGAAGTTGTTTTCGAGAACAAAGAATTTGATTTGTAATATCGTTAATTAAACGGGTTAGAAAATGAATGTGTATGCCAACAAAAGCGTACTTATTAATAATTGGTATGAAGATAAATACGGTACATTACCGTCAAAAAATGAAAGTAATTGGGATTCAACTTATCAAAGAGATTATCGCGAACGAGTTTTACCTATCCGAGATAACAGGGTGATGCGGAATATAAGAGAAAGGGCATCGGTAATTATTGCAAAGTATATTATATTGCAGGGCATAATATTTTACTCATCAAGTCATTGATCAAGATTAAATAAAATTTGAAAACATTTACCAACCGAATTTCAAATATACATATAACTGGTATTTAATTATACATTTAGGGAATGCCAATTAATTTATTCCGTGAACACGGTGTCCACAACGCCTACAATAAAAATTTGAGTTCCCTGTACGATATAAATTGCATGGCTGTTTACAATCCACCATTATACAGACGTTACAAATCACGGTCTGAACTCTGGAAACCTGAACAAGATTTYACAGMAAATTATGGACCAGGACGGAATGAATTGTTGAAAAAAAAACAGACATCTTGGAACAATGTTATAAAGGAATCCATACCTAATACAGAATATCAGTATAGATATATACAATTAGATAGATGAAAATATTGAAGTCGCACAAATCGTACCTATTTAAAAATAAAGAATTTTATATTAATATGTTGAATTATAATAAGATACACTTAGCTTACTGTATTATGTAGTGACGTAGCCAAGATTAGGAAATTAAGGAGGGGGTGCATAGGCGCACATAGGGGGGTGCTTGGGGGTGCTTAGCACTCCCAGGTTTAAAATTAGCACCGCATAAACTATTTAAAATATTTATTACATAGTCATATCTTTTGAAATATTATTATATAAATCTGTTTATGTATATCAGGATATTTTGAAAATATCAACAGTTAGTTTATCAGCAGAAATKATGGTTTTAATGAATAGTCTACCAGCCAGCTTTATAATATATGAAGGCATGAAAAATCAATGTTATAAAAGTTCGTTTCCAAATGTCTGTATGCTATTGGGAATAACAATTCCAATTTCTTCGTCAACGTGTGAACGCTCCTTCTCAGCTATGCGTAGATTGAAAAACTGGTTACGCACCAATATGGGCCAAGAAAGATAGAAA